TTTAAGGACCTTTCTACTGTTTCTGCTTAAACAGTCTAGAAAGCCAGAGCAATCTGGTCAAATCAAATCTGTATAGATTGCAACATAAGATTATGTTGACAATGAAGGAGATTGAAGCCTGGCCAGAAATATTGTTGGTAGAACACTGTATGCATGGTAACAAACAAACGCACTGTGTGGGAGGGAGCTGATGAGGTGAAAACATTTACAAGTCTGTCCATATGGATTGTATCATTTAAAACATTTAAAATAAAACAGGAAAATCCTTTGGGTTGGATTATTTTTATTTAAGAACTGCATAATTTCTTTTTGAGTTGTTTCTTTACATTAAACTGGAGCCGATTTTATTCGTAATGTTTTGCATTTTTAGGAATAAAGTGTAGAGCTTGTCGGTCAGTAAAATTCATACACACATTGGTAACAACAAGCTGATTCCTGAATTAATGAAGATAAAAATATGACAAAATGTGCTACTGAAGTGTAAATAAGAATAAGTGCAACTTTGATTTAATAACGTAAATCTGCACCAGTCCTTTTTTTTTAACAAAATGGAAAAATCCAACATTGTGGCTTTAAAAAAAGTGACATTTTTTCAATACGGTTTTACCGGTTAGTATATAAACCAAATTATAAAAGGTGAAACCTTTTACTAAATCACATTTTGTTTCATTAAAGTGTATAATTTAAGCATTTGTCTGTTTTCATTTTAGCTAAACTGTATTCAGAACCTTACTTATTTAAAAAACAAGCAATAAACCAAAGAAACAAGTTTTAAGTTTGTTTTTGTTTAATCAGTTTTTTTACAGTCAATAATTTTCTTTGCTCTAACCCAGTTTACGTAAACTCGTCTTGTTGCAACACTTGCTCCAGATTCTGTGACAAGAAACCAAAATTTTAACCCCACAAGTTGCTCTAGTTCAGTTTGTCACCTTTAAAATATTTGAAAAACTAACTGACCTGACTGGGCTTTCCTGAAAGCAGACAGGAAACACAGACAGGACTCCATGCAACCTTCAGGTGAAAATGAAGACCCCAAACCCAGACCCAAACCAGTGGTTATTCCGTATGTTGCGGGTATTTCGGAGAAACTGAGACGTTTATTTTCTAAACATGATGTCCCAGTGGCTTTCAAACCCCAAAACACATTACGGCAAAGGCTGGTTCACCCCAAAGATCCGGTGCCCCGGCACAAACAGAGCAATGTTGTATATGCTGTTAAGTGCCAGGAGGACTGCGACCAGTTATACATCGGGGAAACAAAGCAACCACTGTTCAAAAGAATGTCCCAACACAGACGAGCTACATCTAATGGTCAGAACTCTGCAGTTTTCACTCATTTACAGGCCAGCGGTCACTCTTTCAGAGATGAGGATGTTCTCATTCTTGATAGAGAGGAACGTTGGTTTGAGAGAGGAGTAAAAGAAGCCATTTTTGTGAAGAAAGACCGTCCATCATTAAACAGAGGTGGAGGCCTCCGTTTTCAGTTGTCCCCCTCCTAGAGCGCTGCTATTTCCAGTATCACTCCACCCCCTGTTAACAATAGGTGTTAATTAGGTGTCAACGATAGCCATGTGATGTGAGTATCAGTCACATGGAGGCAGGGCTTAAAAGCCTGAATTTTCTGAAACTCTCAGACTGAAGAAGTCTCTTGGAGGAGAGACGAAACGTTTCATTAGAGAAGAGCCCGTCCAGAGGACCTATACAATTTTTTTCTTTTTGAAAAACTAACGTTTATTCATCTTTCTGCACCCAGAGATTCACATGAAGAAATAACCTAAGATCAAACAGTTTAATTATTTTTCCTTTCCCAATAATTGCACCAAATTGCTCTCTCTAAATTACTGCTTATTAAAGTAACAGAAAATTTGTTGAATGTGTTTTAATTCTTAATATGGTTGTCCTGTCAAAGTTTTATAGACGATTGTGTGGCAGTAAGAGTATTTTCATGAAACGTTTAAATAAACGTGCACCTGCACCTCATTTGTACTTTAGATGATGTCGCTGCTGCTGTTATACAGTCCTCACAAAAACCAAGATTTTGGATCCCATCAGTCCAGTTCTGAGGTCTTGGCTCTGATTTGCTGTTGCTCAGAGAATTAATTTTTTTAAAATCTTGTTGCTGGTTTACAAAGCGCTACACGGTCTGGGTCCAAAATCCATCCCTGACCTTCTGCTGCACTACTGAGACCTCTGAGATCACCTGGTTTAAAGCTGCTCTCTGGTGTTAGAACCGAACACGAGTTTTTACCCACTTGACACGCCTCGATGGACTGATAAGTGCTTTACAGCTCCTATAAAAATAACATCGAGAAAGATCGATTGCATCAAACCACAAATAATAATAAAAAGAACACTGATGGCGCACACAAAAACAAGAGCTAGAACAAAAAGCCAATGACAAGACGTCTCTTTTTATTCCGTTTTCAATAAAATAATTAGTTTGTTTAGCAAAATAAAAGTACAAATTGACACAGCCTTCTTCAGTCTGTTTTTAACCTTTTATTAATCAGTGTTGGTAATGTTTCTTTTATGAGCTTGTTACATTCTAAGACAATCAGCCTGCAGCTGAGAAAAATACATTCACGTAGCTATCAGAAGATATACTGTATATAAACATGTATTGAAGGTTTTCCCAGAACAGTATTATTAAAGCTGTTGCTGCTTTGTGATTGTTTGAATATACGCCTTTAATTGTACCACCAAACCACACAATCTGTGTTTTTTTTACACTTGAATAATACAACACATTCAAACACCAAGGTTGCCACTGATGATTTCTCAGTAATAGATTTTGTCTAATACTGAAGCAGGAACTGAACTAAGTCATTATTACAAAATTTAAATAGAAATCAAGAAAGCTTTGTGTGGTTTTACTTTCAACTCTGTTTATAACAGAAAATGAAATGAAAATTAGGTAAACTGATAAAACAGAGTTTACCAGATTAGGGCTGCCACAAATGATTATTTTAATAATCGATTAATCACCGATTATTTATTCGATTAGTCGACTAATCGAATCATATGTTAATTGAATATAAAACATACAGCTTATAGCGCCAGAATGCAGCTGCTATTTTATAACCATGGTTAGATTTTAGCTATATGCTAACTAAAAATAATTGCTGTGGAAGG